ATAAAACTCTAGCGACTGGAGACGCGGTAATGCATGCATCTAATATAAGCAATGGATACCAGCTAAAAAATGCAGTTCTGTGGGGCAGATTAGCTGTCACTGGTGACCCAGGTTACTGGCAGAAATGACTCAGGCCAACAGTGATGAAAACCGGCCAAGAGACCATGTGATTCTTTGACAATGGGCAAGTTACACTAGGGATGTATGCTGCTTAGCAGTGAGAGCGCCTACGTACTTACGAGTTGCAACGTGCTAAATTAATTTTTTCTTTGACCAAGTTATGTAGTTAGATAAAATAAGTGTGAATCCGAATCGCTGGAAATCGAAAATTTTGTGGGAAGTGCAGTAGTAGCTCTAGACTTAATAACTCTTATGTATGGGTCAAAGGTTATATTCAGGTTCCTGGCACAACTTCAGAAGGGAATAAGCCAGGAACTCATATGGATCCAATCCACTGCTGCAGTTCAAGGAGTGTGTGGAACTCGTCTTGTTAATGTTTGTCTGATATCATGTTAATGTCTGTGTTAATGTTATCATGTAAATGTTAATATCATGTTAATGCTTGTCTGATGTCTGATATCTGTTAATGTTTGTTTGATATCCTGATATCAAGTCCGTATTCCACACCAAACTTCCGAAATGCTTTAGAATGTTTTTACACAACCAGAACAATAGCAGAAGCAGCATAAAAAGCTGCAGAGCTTCCGTGTCAACAATCTCTACGGTCCACCATGCTCCGCTCGTCACTACACAGAGATCGTTGCTACTAAAAGCAGGCCTTCGGCTTTCGCGAAACCCAACCCTGAAATGCCGCTGCAATTTTTCAGTTTCATTTCATTAACAGGCTACTCCCGGTTTTCCATACAGCGACCAAGGAACTAACGCCTCGAAGAGTTCTCAGATTCGTTTCATTAGCAGGTCATCCTGGTATTTCTTATAACTCTAAGTGTGTATCCGCTGTTTCCAGAATGGATTGCACTCTAGTGTCCAGCAACACACAGGGCAGCAAAATGAAGCCTTTAATTCTGGAGTAAAAAAATTACAAAACACTATACGAAAATAAAAATTACAAAACACTATACAAAAATAAAAATTACAAAAAACTATACAAAAATAAAAATTACAAAAAACTATACACGTAACTAGCAGTACTGTGACTTTAACTGATCACAGCCACAAAAAAAAACACTTTACATAGCAGCCATAAGCGAAGAACAATGAGAACAAAACAATTACTTAAATAACATATTATTTCATTCTCTTCCTTTTCAACTTCACTTGCCACCTGCTTCTTGTGGCAGATCATACCGGCTGCTTCATCGCGCGCCAACAAAAATAATGGCCGCTTCCTCTAAAATGAAATGAGATGTGACGTCACGAAATAGCATTAGCAGAGAAACGAGGCTGTCTTTCAATGGCAGTCAAGCCGAGTTTTGGTAAGTGACGAAATATCTCCTGCGACCAAAGATAATTCTCTGCCAGACCCGATAATAACTTGCTACATAATGTCACTAGTCGCAAAAAAACATTTGAGTTGTAGTTTCATTCTACAGAAATACTTCTCTTTTTAGTCCGGTCACTCATCTTCAGTAAAGTCATACTGACCTTAGTCACGTGTTTCTGCACCATGCCAGCGACGGCGCATCCCAAGCGTCACCATCTTCGTCCTCCACTCTCATATCGTTTGGCTGGAACATCTTCCAGCGGGCGTATCTTCGTGTCGCAATTCCATGCCGCTTGGAGGGGCATGTTCATCACGACAGCGCCTCCAAGCCACTCCCGGGTAATCTCGCGCAACATCGCTCTCTGCGGCTTATCTGGAAAAATTTGAATTTTAGCTATTTTCCAAGCAAATTACCGCTTTACACCGAGGCATGCAGATACGAGGCTATGCCGCAATAATGCACGTGGACAGCTCTAAACGCAGCAAGTGTCACCCCTAAAGCAAAGCGACCACCATGGGAAAACTGGGCTTCTCGACATGCACATTATTCTAGAAACGCACATCGATCCTCAAGGATGAACCACAGGGCAACCCAAGCATCTTCTCCAAGGAAGAATTTCAGACGAATGCCAAGCAAAATTTGCTGTTTTGTCGTTATCAGTACAGTTTATGCATTTTCATTTACTTCTGGAAAGATGATTTTTTTAACAGGGAATAAGTAAGAATACCTACCTATCCAGCGTCACCGCAGTCCGAGCCAGCGGGCAGCGATACTTAAGTGACGAAATAGTAGTGCACGGCGGCGGCAATATCATGCAATCAGCAACCCCGCCGCATGCCGCTCACAGACTGACCCGATTCGTTTTGCTGGACCAGCACAACGCCTACAAGTTTATTTATCAAGAAAATAACCTACAAAACGATTGCGCAATCACGGCGCGTTGCAAGCCGGCTATCTGCTCATAGCAAATATTCACCAATACGAGAGAACATGCTCGCACCGCACAGATATCACTGCATCCTCCCATAAATTCATTTACATTTCAACTATTTTATTATTATTTCCTTTAAGATTCATATTATTATTATTATTACTATTATTATTATCATTATTATTATTACTGTTATTATTATTGTCATTATTATTATCACTATTGTTGTTGTTGTTGT